CAAGAAAGTGAAGAAGGAAAGTTCATCATAAAAAAATAATAAGTTAAAATTCATATAATATGGTCTAAAAAAGAGATCAGAAAGTCTTGACTTCATCAAGATCACTCGTCATTTATCACTTGTAGAGCAACCTTCATATAAGGAGACTCTTGTAGAGCAGCCTTCAAATAAAGAGACTCTTAAGTAATTCCAAGCAAAGGACCAACCATGAAAGAGCAAATTGGCACAACCTAATGATTGTTTGTCTTTGAAGGCTGAATGTTGACTATAGGCAACGAAGATGGAACAACTGAGACTTCTTGATTGATCTCTGAAGTGTCACAGTCTCTGAATTCACATCATCTTCATCATTAAAATCATCCACTATAAAATGCCGAGTGTTTCCATTGATGGAGGGTCGTGAGAATCATGAGTTCCATCTATTCCTTGAAGTATATCGATTCACCCGTCATTCTCGCTAGTCTGATTTTGCAAAATGTCTAGATTCATGGAGAAATTTACTCCTTCAAGGACGCTTAAAAAAACTAACAAAAAATGAAGTATAATCTTAAAAGAAAAAAAAGAGAGGTAAACAAAAACAAGGGACATACCTGGATTTCATGTTCTGGCAACATGTCTAAAAATTCGCCGTCTGATGGTGTGTTCGGGAGACTGATCTTAATATGAAAAGCTTCGACTTCACCTTTTGAAGGACTCAGAATAGCTTTAAGCGGCCTTGGTTCTACCGATCATTTAGTTTTATATATTCTAGAATGAGGAGCCTGAAATCAAAGATCATAGCATAAGATCAAATACAAGTAGTATGTTGAAAGAAAAACTATACCTGATCTCTAGGACTTTCATCTTCAAGAGTTAAAGTTTTCCTCGGTACTTGGGATGCTCGATCTCGAAGACTACTGTGATCTGAAATCAAAATTACTTCTGGCACTTTATCAACAGGCTTAGAGGTGAAAGTAAACTTTGCTGAGGGAACTATAATTTTAATTCTCTTAATACCTCTTTGATTACGCCCAAAGAATAACGCGGT